CCTCCGTTGAAAATGAGATTGATGACTAACTTGTATGCCATTCTAGAGTATTCATCTAGCACCTGATGGAATTAGAAACAGACACCCACAGCTATACACTGAACTGAACTGGACTTCAGTTGCATAGAGGGAGGATCAATGAGCAAATGGGTCCAGACCAGTCTGGTGAAACCCACAGAAAGAGCTGACCTGAACAAGGGGGAGCTCATGGTTCCCAGACTGATAGTTGGGAAACCAACATAGGCCGAGGCCCTATCCCAAAGGATATGACAGACGCTGAAGACCCCGTATGGAAGGCCTCACCTTCCCTGGGGAGCAGAAAAGGTATGGGATAGGTAGGTTGTTAGTGGTGGGAGCAGGGGAGAAAGGAGGGAGAGGGAACTGGGATTGACATGTAAAACAATCTTGCTTCTAATTTAAATTAAAAATAGAAAAATTAAAAACACTAACAAACATTATTAGTGGAGAACTCATTACGTCTGTACTGCATCTGTATTGTGATAGTCTTTTGTAGCAGTGGAAATACAGAGTGTTAACATCTGTTTGAGCCTCATCTAAAGCACAGCATTTGTTTCCACAAGTAAGACTTCACAAGAAATACTGCTACACGCAGGTTTCTGTTTAACAGGGTGGAGAAGTGATCATGTTCTGAAATACAATAGAGTTTGGGGTGTTCATTCTACCCCCAAGATAAAACATGAAACTTGGTCTTATCATTTGAAGGATTCCCTTAAAAAATTAGAATTGTATGTGGTTATTAAAGAAATAACTCCAACGCTTGGATCAAAATTGTTGTTTCTACAAAGAGGACATTTATAATATTAAGAACAATTAATTTAGAGGAAGATTTTAGAAATATTTAAAAACAGTTTTTCACAAAAGATGGTGAGAGAAGGTAATATATGTGATACTCAAAATACCCTACTCTTCTGAAATGCAGTCAAGAAACTTAATTTATTCCTCAATTAATCTCTTTTCTCCTAACTTCTCAAAGAACTCCAAAAATTTTCCTTGATGACTGAGCAAAATGATATCATCCTGATCATCAAGAAAAATGTTACAGTATTTTTCAATAAACTTACAATAACATCAGGAAAATATGGAGAAACTAATTACTTTGTCTAACAATAGAGTTTATTACCACTTGAAGGAAACAAAAAGGTTAAGTAACATTCCTAACTGAAAGCAGAACAGACAAAAAAAAAAAGAGAGAGAGATGGTTGTGAGCTATGTCCTCATTCTTCACAGCCATAGCTTATTGCATCCTGTTTTTTCCCTTCAGAAAAACACAGGCCTCCCATGTATATTAGCAGCCATAGGATATCAAGGCAAGACATCTCCTCTCCTATTAAAACTGTACAAGACAACCTTGCATCAGGAAAGAGTCTCAAGAGCAGACAACAGAGACACTCCCCACTCCCTCTGCCAGGTGACCCACAGGAAGATCCATGCTAGTGCAATTGTCATCACAGAGGTTTCACCCAGCAACTGATGGAAACAGGTGTAGAGACCCACTGCCAAATATCAGGCAGAACTTGGGAAATCCTGTGAAAGAGTGAGAGGTAGGATTGTGGCAGTCAGAGTGGTCAAAGACATCATTTGAAAACACACAGAGGCAACTGAACTGGGCTCATGAGGGCTCATACAGACTGAACTGCCAATTCTTCATTTTTTGAGCACAGAAAGTATTTTTGAGTTTCGAAGATTTGACTCATGTATCACATCTCCCACATGTTGCAAACACAGTGTTTTTCAACAAATAAGTAAGAACAATGGTAGATTTGACATTACCCCAAATAGGAATCTGTGCTAGCATAGAAATGACATTTTGCATATCTATGCAATGTAAAATATGATTTTGGTAGATCTGCACTGTTCACTCACACAGGTATATTTCTGGGTGAAAAATTTAGCTACTTATTTTTTACAGTGGTTCATGATGGATATGATAAAAAAATTACTCTGTTAACAAAAGGCCAGTCTTAATATTTGATATTTGTGAATATGAGTATTCATGCTGTTGCAGGGTTAGAATGCCAGTGAGATGACTCAAAAGATTTTCTTTGTTTTTTTCTGCAAGCCAGGCTCAGTTTTCCTCAGTATGATAGAGGGGAGCATTCATGTAGAAGGTGACTCCATGTAAGAAAGACTGCATGGTTCACTGTCAGATGTCAGGATGGAGGAGAAGACCCCCCAAAAACTAGGAACGAAATAAACATCTAGAAAGTTGAATAAACAAAGGAATGGATTGTCTTTTACGTGCACCCAATGGCAGTGAAGCTCCAATAAATAAATTTAGACATGAGAAATCCTCCTTAGATTTTTGAGCCCTAACTGTAAGATTTAAAAAGTTGTTTTATTTTAGATAATGCAAGTTTGACAAGGGGAACGGGTCAAGATCTCCTGAGCAAATTGGGAGCATGGGAAGAGGGCAGGGAGCTAGAAGGATGAGAAGGGGAGAAGAGGAAGGATGCAGAGGACATGAAGGAGCAGAAAGGTTGATTCAGGGGAAGAATAGAAGAAAACAAGAAAGGAGATACCATAATAGAAGGAGACGTTTTAGGTTTCAGAGGAAATCAGGCACTAGGGGAAGGTCTGGAGATCTACAAAGATGACACCAACTAACAATCTAAGCAATAAAGGAGAGGCTACCTTAAATGCTCTCCCCTGATAATGCGATTGATGACTGTCTTATATGTCATTCTATAGCCTTCGTCCAACAGCTGGTGAACATAGAAGCAGACACCCACAAGTAATCACTGAATTGAATTGGAATCCAGTCGCAGAGAAGGACGAGTGAAGGAGTGAAGAGCAAAGAGGTCCAGACCAGGCTGGTGAACCCACAGAAACAGCTGAACTGAACATCGGGGAACTCTTGCTCCCCAGACAGATAGCTGGAATACCAGCATGCGACTGATCCAGAACCCAGGAACATGGGTTTCAGTGAGGAAACCTCAGAAATCTAAGGGATCTCCTGTAGTAGTTCAGTACTTATCCCTAGCATAGGTGTGGACTTTGGGAGCCCATTCCATATAGAAGAATACTCCCTGAGCCAAGACACATAGGAATGGGCCTAGGCCCTATCCCAATGGAAACAATAGACTCTGATGACACCTTATGGAAGGTTTCACCATCCAGGGGGAGCAGAACGGATATGTGATAGATAGGGTTTTAGTTGGGGCGGGGGGGAGAAGGGAACTGGGATTGTCATGTAAAACAATCCTGGTTCTAATTCAAATAAAAAAAAAGTTGAAAAAAAAACCTCTTTGTTACCATTTTGAAGATTTATCATTAAAAATCATATTGCAAGGTTAAAACATTTTTCTTCTTATTTAATTAAATAATTTTTCATCTTGCTGTTTGTTTGAATCTATTGAACATGCTAAATAAAAATGATGAGACTGGTTAGTTCCCATTAAAAATAAATAAATAAAGGTCTTTCCATGTCAAAAAAAAAAAAGAAATTTGTTATAAGACAAGGAAACAGGTAAAATTTGTGATCAGGGCACAAGGACTTAACATTTCATTTTTTTTTTTTTTTTTGCCCCTTACAGACTTACTATTTTGCAGTAGTTTTTCTACCAGTGATTCACTTGACATCAAGAGAGTGTTTTACAAAATGGATTGTCTACTAAACAACCTAATCAAAATATTATTAAACAATTACACTGCAGTAGGCTGTTTAATGAAGTGTTTTCAGTGTGGTTTGAGCACTAATAGCAACAATGTTAAGCTTCTTTGTGCTCTGTGTATCAAACAGCTTGTTGCAATGTGAGCTGCCTGAGAGCCAGATGAATCCTGAAGCACCTTTGACAGACAATTCACTCCTTAAGATCTAAATTCCATTCTGAATTGTTATGCACACAGAAATGGAGAAAGCATTAGACTTTCACAAGTGTCCATATACCATACCTCATGTTAAAATCCCTGATCACTTAATACTCTCCTGTGATCCTCACTTCAAATGACATACCTATTGGCTTCTCCCAAATTTGAATCTCTTTATAAATTCACTGACTCTGAAGTTAAGTACCATGGTTATCAATACTGACTTTAGAAGTAGGCCATCTAAATGATGTATTAAAAACAACCCCCTTATTTGTTTTGTTTTGCTTATTTAATTTTGTTTTTTCAAGACAGGGTTTCTCTGTGTAACAGTCTTGGCTGTCTTGGAACTCTCAGATTAGCTTACCTCTGCCTCCCAAATGTTGTTGTTAAAGGAATGCAAAACCACTGCCCTGCTAACAAAATCTTTTTATAATCCACAAAATGTATATAACCTTTTAACTTATGAGATAAATTAAAATACAAGTATGAATATATCTTTGCCTAATGACATGTTCACAAACAGTTTTCACATGCAAAATTTTGATCTGATCACACATGCTTTCTTATGTGCTTCTTTGCCATAGAATTTTGAGACAGAGAGCTGTACTTTAGTTATATTTTTCCTCTCAAAATTTAAATATGAATTAAAATATAATACTATATATATAATCTTCTCTTTTGTGTGCATGTATATGTGTGCATGTGTGTGTTTGTGTATATATGTTCCAAAACAAATTGTAGTATAATGTGAGGTAAATGATAATATAATAAAAATATAATTCTAAACATTGCTAGTAAAAGAAAAATGGCAAGCTGAAGATATAGATCAGTTGGTGAAGTACTTGATTTGCATCAGGATTACATGAGTTCAATCCCAAGAACAGAATCTGACGTACTGGGAGTTTGTAACTGCAGTGCAACCCCAGTGTAGTCCTGGCAAGCTATGTTCTCCTAACTGAACTCCAGGTCAATTAGAACTCCATTGCACAGAAGATGGGTGACATTCCTAAGAATGCTACCCTAGGCTATCTCTGAGTCCCTCTATGCATGCATTAGCAAACACACACAAAAAGTGGAAAAAAAATAAATATACTGAAATGAATGCAAATGTCTTTGAAATTTCTGAGAACATTCCCCTATACTGTTCCTGCTATAATTCACTTCCTCAGTGGGAAAATATACTTGAGATGCTACCCTAGAAACTAAATCCACATAAATCACTACTGATTAAAATTATTTTCTTTTTCTTGCAATTGGTTGCAGAGATACCAACTTCTTCAAGAGGTGGCATTGTGGGGCTTTGTGGTAGTTTGAATGAAAAATGTTCCCATAGGCTCAAGTCTTTGATCTATTGGGCAAGTTGGTGGCAGTGTTGTGGGGGAGGGGGTTAGGGGGGATTTTCCACTGTTTCCTGGAAGAAATATGTCACTGGTGGTGAGCTTTGAGATACCATAGCCTTGTCTCACCTCCAGCTTTTACTTACCCCTTTGTGTTTGTGGTTGATTAAGTGATCAACCAACATCCTGCTTCTGCAGCCATACCTGAATCTTTTGCCATGTCTACCCAATTTGGTGAACTTTATAACTCTGGAACCATAAGACTAAGTGGACTCTTTCTTCTGTAATGGGCCTTGGTCATGGTGTTTCATCGTAGCAACAGAAAAGTAACTAATAGAGGTTATATTTTGAGGAGATATTTGTATAATAAACATTGACAAGTTCAAACTCAGCCTAGCTATGACTTGGCATACCCTATAGATGTGTTTCAAACCAAGGAAAGCTTCATGCATTCTTTGGGGTCTTTCAAGAGTTAAAATGTTTATACTCATTGTATTTAATGCTTCTCTAACAAAGCAGCTGCCCACACTATTTAATTTAAATGACAGGAAACTACTGTTGGAAGTGCTCACAGTTGTTTCTATTTGGCCTTCTTATCCCTCTCATAAGAGATTTTAGAACCCTCTCAACCACTCCCACACCTTTATCTCTGCCTATCATTGCCTCTGATTCTACTCCCACTGTTTGTCATCTTAATGCTGAGTTCTTTTGAAAAGTAAAGTGAATTTCTCTTAACTGTGTATATCTGAAGACGACAGGAGAAGCTGAGGGAGTAGATGCCACAGTAATCCACATTTCACTTTCACCCAATTCATTTCTATAAATCAGATTATAGAGCAGTAGTC